TCATTTCCTTCTTTATCTTGTCCAACTTCTTGAGAGTGGCCCTTCACCTTTTTCCAGTAGACATCAATTTGAGATTGTGTGACTAATGATTCGATTGTGGAAATGATAGCGGCATTCTTTACTGGTTTCCCTTTGCTGTTTACCATTCCTAACTGTCTCCATCTTTGTAAATATTCTAAGAATGTCTTAGAAACATATTCAGAGTCCGTACAAATGACAATTTCTTTGAGATGTAGTTCAATAGCCTGCATCAATGCAATTAACACTGCTGCTAGTTCAGCATACTGCGATGTTTGTTTTCCAAGTTGATATCCTTGACTGAGTGGATGTAGTTCAGGATGGGGCCAATAGACTCCTGCCCCAGCCCTGGTTTCTTGATTTTCATCCGTAAATGAGCACCCATCAGCATAAACACACTTCATGCTTTCGCACAGTTCGGGATTGAATTTATTATGTTGTGATATGTCCATATCATTGGGTTCTGAGCTGCAGTCATGTAATGTTGCCAAACCTTCAACATGTTTCATATTGAGAGTTTTCTTGTATTGAACCTCAAAAGACTGCCCTTGTAATATAAGAGACCATTTCCCAACCCGAGTAGAAAGTTGGCTGTTCTTGTTAGCTAGAAATGTTACTGGATGATGTGAAGTCTTCACAATTGCATGGTGACCACATAAATACGGTTTAAAATGTAAGATAGCCCATGTAGCTGCCAAACAATGCTTCTCACACTCACTGTACAGTTTCTCTGCAGCTGACAAAGTTTTGCTTGCATACACAATAACTCTGAGTTTGTCTCCTTGCATTTGTGACAGTACAGCACTCATAGCTTCACTTGAACATGTAGACTCGACAATGAATTCAGCTCCCTCAAAGAACTGTGGGTAACCCAGTATAGGTGCTTGACACAGGAGTGACTTTAATTCCTTTAATGCTGTCTGCTCATTGATTCCGAACTTCCATTCAACATTTTTACGAAGAAGCTTTGTCAATGGTTCTGCTATTTTAGCGTAATCCTTTATGAATCTTCTATAGAAATTGAGTGTTCCTAAGATACTGCGCAGTTGTGATTGATTCTTGGGATCTTGCAAGTCCTGTATCACCTGAGTTTTCTTTGCCTGTGGTGAAATTCCCTCTGATGATAAGTGGTAACCAAGATAATCCACTGATGACCTTGCAAACTGACATTTATGAAGAGGGACTTTAACACCTGCTTTAGAAAACTGTTCAAACACATATCTTAGCTGACTTAAGTGTTCTTCCCAGTCATCACTGTTAGCTAAAACATCATCAACAAACAATGACAAGTGTCTATCTCTAACATCTGGAAGTACTTTGTGAAGGAAAATGTTCCATTCTGCAGGGCTATTGACATAGCCAAAAGGTAGGCGAGTCCATGTATATTGTGCACCATCAAAGGTGAAAGCTAACTTATGTTGATCATCTCCTTTCACTGGTATAGTCCAAAATCCATTTGCGACATCAAGTGTGGTGAAGTATTTTGAACTCTTCAATCGTGACAGCGAATAGTCTATATCTCCCATAGGCCATCTTGATATTGGCACTTTACGGTTAAGATTTCTGAAATCTATGCACATTCGCCATGTCCCATTTGCTTTTAGAACAGGCCACACAGGTGAATTATAGGTACTATTACAAGGTCTTATAATGTCATTAGATTCCAGTTCTGCAATTATCTTCTTTAAACTATCATAAGCAGCCCACGGGATCTTATATTGCTTAGTATATATGGGCTCACCTGCATTGTTAATGGGAATTTCAACTTCATGTAGGTTTGTACTTCCAACATCATTCTTGCCTTTACTAAAYGTATCCTTAAACTCGAGCAATAAGTTCAATAATTGTTCYTTCTGACCTTCATCTGCATCTGCACTTTCCACTGCATCTTTGATTTGYTCATCGATGTTAACTTCTGTTGAATCTGAACCAATGATCTCCATCTGTTCCTCAGCCTTCTCTACTTCACTATTTGGAGGATTTCTTACAGCATTGATCATTTTCTCTGTAGGATTAAGACCTTTCAGTGTCACAGTTATTCCGGTCTGGTCAACAATACAGCTTTCGATATCTTCGTTACTAATGGGGCTATCCTGAATCCTTAACTGCTTTATATCAAAGGTACCAGTGCAATCACTAGGAACCTGCACTGTAGCTTGCTTTCCTAAGGCCTTGTCTCCAATGACTRTTATACTTGTGTCGAATGTAGGAGAGTCAATGGCTACCACTTTGGCAATTCTCTTGCCTTTGTGAAGCATTATGTCTTTATGTTGTGAATTTCTAACATAAATCCAAAACCATTGTTTGTTCGTCGGCACAATACAATCTATCAACTCTAGTCCCATTTGATAAAGACACGCTGTACCTTGTATTGTTCCATCCTTTCCATCGATGTCTTGATTTTTGGCGACTCTCATCTTAATGCGCTGGGCATCAGTCAACTTAGGGACAGTAATAGTCTCCAGTACTTCCACATCACACACCTGGGGTACAACTTGAACAGTGTTAATTCCTTTCCATCCTTGAGCAAACTGTGCAACATCCTTTGTACAACTTCTAAGAACACCATTGAATAGATCAATGACACCACATAATCTCCACAAAATGTCAGCCCCTACCAATAAGGGGGTGTTTATGTCGCATACGTAAACTGGGTGCCTGATCACCCGAGTTCCAAATTTCAAATCGAGCCAACATCTACCATATGTTTTGACTCTTCCATTGCTTGCATTGTACAACTTTGCACATCCATCAGTCAGCTTTAGGCATGGATTCTTTAACAACAACTGCTCAAAAAGTTCCTTTGTTATGATAGTGKCTTCTGCTCCTAAGTCTAAGGGTGCCAACACATCTRTACTTGTTTCTATGGTAACAGTGAAATGAGGACAGCCTCCCTCTCGCTGAAATTTCAAAACTCCCAGAACGTTATCAGACACACAGTCACTATTTTCAACTAAATGTACTTCTGGTGRAGWTTCAATGTCTATTCCATCCAACCCATCTACATCAAGGCTTCTAGCATGAATTGTCTCCTGTAGACTCTCATCAGCAYACAGTGTTCCTTCAGGCTTTTCACTATCTGCGTCATTACTACTAGACTCATCAATACTAGACAGTACTTCCATGTTGGGGTTAGTTCCATTAGACATATTATCCTCCTCTGTTTGTACATCACTTGTCTTGTCATTTACCTCATGTGTYTGATTAGTTTCAGGATGTTCCTCKTCAACAACTGTGGGAGTTACATGTATCTCCTCCTTTCATTGTCCRGATAGGGTTGAAACTTGTTCCTTTGGTACAGGTCCTTGAGGGTTAGAGTGTGCTCTCTGTTGCTCATATCCTTCAATTATCTGCTTTAGATAATCCATAAATCCATCTTGCTGAGCTTGAGMAGTAGGTATTTCAACTCTTTGATTTTTAACAGTTGGAGTTGGGATTCCTGTGGTTGATCCATTTGATGTTTTCCCATCATTTCTATGACAGTCTCTGGCATAGTGTCCTGATTCTCCGCAGCGAAAACAATCACCTCTCCTCTGTCTCTTGAAACTGTCTCTGGGGTTCGACAAGATCTTTCTACTTCCACTCCCTCCTTCCAAGTTAAGGCTTGCTCTATCCTTTACCTCACACACTTGGAGCTCCTTGGGGCGTGATCTCTTGTGATAGAAAATCTCTGCTTTGGCAACAAGATCATCAAGATTATTCAGGGCTAAAGCTTCAAGCTGTTGACGAATGTGAGGTTGTAGGCCATCCACAAACGCAAGTCTCAGCTGAACATCATCTCTTCCTCGAAATCCAAAAGCTCTTGTTGATAGACGGTTTAGTCTGCGAAGAAATTCACTGGGTGTTTCGGTTGGTTTTTGTTTACCTTCTCTACCTCGAAGGGCCTCAATCGCAGCTTCTTGACAGGAGAATCTGCCGAAATCCTTTTCCAACTGTCCACAAAGTTTGTCAAAATCACTTTGTATCTCTGGTGGATAACTCTGTATCTGCATACTGGCAGTACCCTCAACAACCATCTTTACTATAGCAAGCTTTTCATCATCACTGTAGGGAGGTTCTCWCACAGATAACTTACTCTTTAAGGTGGCGATAAACTCTTCAATACCAGCATTAGGTCGTACTTCAGGGTTAAATGGCGTTAAATTCTTACAAATCTTTGACCAATCTGAGGGGAGTCCCTTCCCTGTGTGAAACGTGTCTGTCGGGCCCTTTGAAGCTTGTGATAGGGAAAGTTGCTTGNTGCCTTTGTGAAGCATTATGTCTTTATGTTGTGAATTTCTAACATAAATCCAAAACCATTGTTTGTTCGTCGGCACAATACAATCTATCAACTCTAGTCCCATTTGATAAAGACACGCTGTACCTTGTATTGTTCCATCCTTTCCATCGATGTCTTGATTTTTGGCGACTCTCATCTTAATGCGCTGGGCATCAGTCAACTTAGGGACAGTAATAGTCTCCAGTACTTCCACATCACACACCTGGGGTACAACTTGAACAGTGTTAATTCCTTTCCATCCTTGAGCAAACTGTGCAACATCCTTTGTACAACTTCTAAGAACACCATTGAATAGATCAATGAYRCCACATAATCTCCACAAAATGTCAGCCCCTACCAATAAGGGGGTGTTTATGTCGCATACGTAAACTGGGTGCCTGATCACCCGAGTTCCAAATTTCAAATCGAGCCAACATCTACCATATGTTTTGACTCTTCCATTGCTTGCATTGTACAACTTTGCACATCCATCAGTCAGCTTTAGGCATGGATTCTTTAACAACAACTGCTCAAAAAGTTCCTTTGTTATGATAGTGKCTTCTGCTCCTAAGTCTAAGGGTGCCAACACATCTRTACTTGTTTCTATGGTAACAGTGAAATGAGGACAGCCTCCCTCTCGCTGAAATTTCAAAACTCCCAGAACGTTATCAGACACACAGTCACTATTTTCAACTAAATGTACTTCTGGTGRAGWTTCAATGTCTATTCCATCCAACCCATCTACATCAAGGCTTCTAGCATGAATTGTCTCCTGTAGACTCTCATCAGCAYACAGTGTTCCTTCAGGCTTTTCACTATCTGCGTCATTACTACTAGACTCATCAATACTAGACAGTACTTCCATGTTGGGGTTAGTTCCATTAGACATATTATCCTCCTCTGTTTGTACATCACTTGTCTTGTCATTTACCTCATGTGTYTGATTAGTTTCAGGATGTTCCTCKTCAACAACTGTGGGAGTTACATGTATCTCCTCCTTTCATTGTCCRGATAGGGTTGAAACTTGTTCCTTTGGTACAGGTCCTTGAGGGTTAGAGTGTGCTCTCTGTTGCTCATATCCTTCAATTATCTGCTTTAGATAATCCATAAATCCATCTTGCTGAGCTTGAGCAGTAGGTATTTCAACTCTTTGATTTTTAACAGTTGGAGTTGGGATTCCTGTGGTTGATCCATTTGATGTTTTCCCATCATTTCTATGACAGTCTCTGGCATAGTGTCCTGATTCTCCGCAGCGAAAACAATCACCTCTCCTCTGTCTCTTGAAACTGTCTCTGGGGTTCGACAAGATCTTTCTACTTCCACTCCCTCCTTCCAAGTTAAGGCTTGCTCTATCCTTTACCTCACACACTTGGAGCTCCTTGGGGCGTGATCTCTTGTGATAGAAAATCTCTGCTTTGGCAACAAGATCATCAAGATTATTCAGGGCTAAAGCTTCAAGCTGTTGACGAATGTGAGGTTGTAGGCCATCCACAAACGCAAGTCTCAGCTGAACATCATCTCTTCCTCGAAATCCAAAAGCTCTTGTTGATAGACGGTTTAGTCTGCGAAGAAATTCACTGGGTGTTTCGGTTGGTTTTTGTTTACCTTCTCTACCTCGAAGGGCCTCAATCGCAGCTTCTTGACAGGAGAATCTGCCGAAATCCTTTTCCAACTGTCCACAAAGTTTGTCAAAATCACTTTGTATCTCTGRTGGATAACTCTGTATCTGCATACTGGCAGTACCCTCAACAACCATCTTTACTATAGCAAGCTTTTCATCATCACTGTAGGGAGGTTCTCWCACAGATAACTTACTCTTTAAGGTGGCGATAAACTCTTCAATACCAGCATTAGGTCGTACTTCAGGGTTAAATGGCGTTAAATTCTTACAAATCTTTGACCAATCTGAGGGGAGTCCCTTCCCTGTGTGAAACGTGTCTGTCGGGCCCTTTGAAGCTTGTGATAGGGAAAGTTGCTTGAGTTTCGTCTCCAGGTATTCGATCTTCGTATTTTTATCTTTTAATTCTGCTGCAAGCTCCGAATTCTTTTTATTTGTGGTGGACAGTTCTTCTCTCACTCGTTCCAGGCCTTCACTGATCGATTCTTTCTCTCTTGTGAGTTTTGTGGTGTTATCTTTGAGTTGATTTTCAAGAGATTGGCGAATATRAATTAACTCCTCGTTTTCCTTAGCGGCTGCATCAATTTCTTCGTTTAGTGAATCGCACAACGTCTTAAAGTAATTACACTTGCCTTTAGAATGATGTACTACAGCGACACAAAGAGCCGAGAAATTGCTGACGGCTTGCAAAACTTCATCGGACGTGTTTGTTTCATCGAAGTTAGCGATTGAATCTCTTTCGGYCTCCAGGCGAGTTAACAGGTCTTCTTCAGGCAAAATTTCTAGRTCTTCSACATACACAGTYGCCCATGGTGATAATTTAACTCTCTCATCTCCCACTTCATCATTTTCGKTGGAGTTTTCGGTATTTTCAGCCATGTTTGTCAAACGCACGTGCTCAGTAGAGTGGAATAAATTCCAAAACTTTCCTTTGTTTTAAGCTTCCAATTCTCTTGGGACTTACTCAGAACGTKTAATAAGGAATCTTTCGTGTCCTGGCRKGGTCGCCAATTTGTAATAAGACGAATTAGAAGYAATTTCAACGCTTTATTTCTCGGAACTCACTCTGACAACTAACACTCTCACGGCAAACCACTCGCACGCCCACAACGCATCATGGGCAAAAATATAAAGGGAGCCCAAAAAAAACATTATTATACTATATGTACGTAACAATGACTAAATTTACCTACCAATACTGCACACAGATCAAAAACAAAAACGAAAAGAAATAATTAATCTTACAAACATTTTGATATGTTGCTATAGAATTTTATTCATTTTATGTCACTGAATATGACGTGTTTGAAATTCAGCAAGCAGAAATCAAAGCAGCAATGGAACAGTCTATGAATAATTCATCGTCCATGAGTATGCAATCAAGTAGCCAATCAGGTAGCGTCTTTGGCGGGTCATCACAAAGCTTGTTTGGCCAATCACAGAGCTTTGGTAGCAGTGCTAGTATTGGAGGTGGAGCATTTGGAGCTGCCCAGAATCCTTTTGGAGCTGCAGCTAATTCTAATACGCAAATGCAATCCACTCAAGCAAGCTCAATGGGTAATTTGCACTATCCGTGACTAATAATCACACTTGTCATAATACATTATCTGGCACTGGGTGCAAGGGTTCTGCACTCCCTTCTGAGCAATACCTCATAACTTCAGTTTTCATTTTTATCTTTCTCTATTCAATTGAAACATTGTGCAGCCCCCTTGAGCCTTCACCCTTCCCTGCATCAGACTTTGATCCCCCCTCCCCCTCCCTGTGAAGCAGATGTCACATAAGACGTTTTTGAGCATATTTGTTTTTACTAGGCATTGTGCAGCCAGGAGCGTAGCGTCCTTTACACATATACGCACGCGCGTACTAGTGGCAAGGAAATATTCGGGATTTGATGCTTTTTATATGCCCTCGATGCCGCTAAAGACGCTGAAAATCGCATTTCCAAGAGTTATTATTTCACAATTTCCTGGGGGAGGACCACTAGACCCCCCTTAATGCTCCCACCTTCGCGTTCGTTCTCCCCATGTGTGTACTAGCCAAAAAGTCCACGCTACACGCCTGGCAGCGATGCATTTTGTGCAGCAAAGCATGATGGTAGTTGTAGTCAAACTTATTAGAGACCCTGAAATATCTCCAAGAGCCGGGTTTTTTTACATTTTCTTAGTAGAAACGGTAAAAGTACTTCTAATTTTGCTTTGACTGCTAAGGGGAACTGTTGTAGTGGAAATATAAAAGTGCAAGGACTACAACTACCATCATGCTTTGCTGCACAAAATTGCTTCGTTGCACATTGCCAATTGCTATTAGATGACATAACTCAAAGGAGGTTTGCAAAGAGAAGAAATGCTCAGAAATAGTGGGCATTTAAACGTGTTATTTCCTCAAACTCAACGTTCTCTGAAATATCCTCATAGAATTTGTATGTTTTGTGAAATCACTCAAGTATTTACCCTGATTTGCATATGTTTTGGTCCAACAGGGGCTTCCTCTTCGTCATCTTTATCATCCAATACTTTATTTGGATCATCTGCAAGTCAAAATTTGTTTGGCTCGGCTAATGCAGCAGCACCAATGTCTAACAAATCTCTTTTTGGGAGTGTGAATACTGGGATACTTGCAAGTCCCTTTGCAACAACTACTAGTACCAGCAATCAACCAGGGACTGTTCAACAGGTTTGTGATGATCATGATAGCCTACGTACTTTAAGATCGCC